TTTCCCGCAATAAAAAGTATCCTATATGTTGTCACGGATAACCAGCCATCATCATACTAAATTTCATCAAAATCCCTCCAGTGGTTTTTCCGTGATGCGGTGACATACAGACAGACAAAAATTCTAAAAACTTTCGGCCTCTGTATCGATAATAATGTTCAATAAGATTTTCCAAAAAATATTTCATGTACAGATTCAGCTCAGTTACAATTTTATTATATGTATAGACTAGTGTTGCACGTGGCTCCGAAGTATGGTATTGCGATAAAAGGTTATCAAAGTTTTTATGTCCTTGACAAATTTTATCAAAATCTGTTTAGTGGTTTACGCTTGAAAAGGTAACAAACGGATAGTTTCATATTTATAATATTATTATGGATTGTAATTATATTTATATGTTAATAATATTTGTTTTCTCTGTATATTTAATAGATTTATCGACTTGAACGTAAACATCGTAAGTAGGTAGGTAAATACTAAATATGTAAAATATGCATCTTAATTAAGATTTAAGACAAATTGTGTAAATTCGGTAATTTTGTAGGCAAAAGCAAATGTAAGTTATACACTCTGCGTGTTATATTATTGCATCATAGAGATTTTATGTACAATATCTAATGTTTGTAATGGCTGTATGATATAAACTAAAAGCTACGAATTGTAAGTTCGACTTTTTTTTTATTTTGAGCGTTAAGCGTGAGTGTTAGATTTACTTTACCTAAAAGTCAAGTAAATCTAACGGTCAAAATGAAAACATCTTAAAAATATATTTTTATTATTAACTATTCTCATAAAATAGGTGCGCTTCACTTATTACAACGCGTATTTCCCGACTACTGTTATTAATTATAATAAAGATACTAAAAACATATCGAAATATAAAATACATATATTTTAGACTCGACTGAAAATAAGTTAAAATTTTTTTTTTTTAAGTTATACTTGTTTTGGGACGTTTGGAAAAAAATATGAGAGTAAAATTTTTACGACGCGCGTACACTGACGGCCAAAAAGCGACATGATGAAGTTTGTTGCCATGGTAAACCATTGTTAGTGTCTGACAAATGATATATAATATTATACTCTTTCCTTAAATGATATTCTATAGGTATATGAAGGTATATATTCTAGATATATGATTGTAATATGCCTAATATGCGTTATTTAATTATTTTATTAATTTATCAATCCTTTTACACAGAAAGAGTCATACGGGATGAAATCTTTAGCTATTTTTGTTCTGTTACGCCAAAGTAGTATAACTTCTTACGTGCGTACATAAGCACACACACACACGCGTTTTTGTTCTTTTTTTGTAAAATAAACCAATGTTGCTTGAAGTAAACATACGAAAATGAACATACTCTTATCGTGCCCTAAAAAATCTCAACGCTCCGGTTTCTGTAAGGCGGTCAGCAGAACGATTTGTTTAAAACCACCCAAGCAACTATATAACATATTACGTAATGAGAAAGGCGAGTATTGTAGGCATATTTTTGGAATGGCGAATTGGGTTCATCGTGCGTTCGTAAAACGGCGCGGCAACGGTCGTATTTTAGTCTCAGGTGTTTGAAAACAAACGATCTACGGTGAATTTACGTTGCCTTTTTGCTGGAAAAATTCATATAATATGTAACGATATTCATTATATTGAACGTGTCTAATTTATTTAAATATGAAATAGAAATAAAAATAGCCATTTGTAAATGTTAAGGAAACTTTGAAAAAGTCTTTTATGTTTTTCATAATTTTTATCGTAATTTATTAAAAATTTTGTATATCCCATTTTTTATTTTTTTTTATTTTCATCTGAGAGAAATGAAGCTCGCTGAGCAGAGATCCTGAAGCTCTTAACAAAAATAGTCTAGTATCAACACGTCACCGGCCACTCGACCGCTCACGACTAAATTTAAAACACGCGTTTAATGTTTTTACACATTAATTACTTATTTACACTAATTGGACGCAAATTTTCCTGTCAGTATACTATATTTGGTGTAACAAAATATATCCTGTTCTGTGTGTAATTTTAAAATATAAAGATTTTTAATTTCTACTTGCTTGTGCAATACGCAAAAAGCTTATGTTTCTATAGAAAAGTGTGACTTTATATTAGTAAACTAGCAGAACTCACGGTTTCGCTTGCGCTAAAACTACAAAAAATCTCTAAAAAGTGGATTTCATAAAAACTTTCATCCCCTATTTTACCCTCTTAGGGGTTGAATTTTAGAAAACGCTGAAATACGTAACTCATTCTTTTTGCAGTACTCAATTCGTACGAAATTTCATGCAAATATAACCAAGGAATAAAAAGTTTTATAGAAACTTTTATCCCCTATTTCACCCCCTTAGAGGTGAAATTTTTATAAATCCTTCCTTAGTGAATGCCTTCGTCATACGAGGAATACGTGTGCGAAATTACAATTTTCTAGCCTTAAGGGTTTGGCCTGTGCGTTAATACATCAGTCAATCACTTTTGCCTTTAATATATGAAGAATGAGTATTTGAAATCAGTTAAAAGTGTTAAATATTTTTTAGTTTAGTCATAAGTGCTAACCGGGATTCGAACGCACTATGGCAAATAAGGCAATGGCAAAACCCATAATTTGATTATTTTATAGGAAACAACCATTTTTTCCAAACAAGCATGTAAAGACAAACAATAAGCATTAAATATATACATTAATATCAATCCATACATATCTCTATCACGCCAGAACGGCTGAACGAATCTGGATGAAATTTGGCACAGACATAGATTGTAGTCTGGAACATAGGTTGCTTTTTAATCCAGAAAAATGTACGGTTCCCGTGGGATACGTTTGTTTTTGTCTAGATACGAACCGAAGCAAAGCGAGGATGAGTCGCTAGTATGTATTAAATAAAGAATCGGAGTGTTAATTTTTTTGAATAAAAATTGCACCGAATCTTTAAAACTATAACTTGTCGAATGATAGTTCGGCGTATAAAGCGATCTCAATGCCATCTTTTTTTAGCCTTGATATTTTTTGCGATGACTAATTTGTTTTATTGTACTTGTTGCTGTTGCGGAAACATATTGTTTTAGCATTTATTATTATGGCGTTGTCCACGAGTTCTATAAAACAAAATTAACATAATGAAAGACAAAGAAAGATTAATTTATATTTTATCTTCCTATCTTTCCATATTTTGTTCAGGTTAAAAGTACATATAGATGTAAAAATAAATTGCTAAATATGTTGCTTAACGCAAAACTCGAGAACAACTGAACCAATTCGGCTATTTTGTTATTTAAATATTCTCTAAAGTTCAAGGAAGGTTCTTATGAAGAAAAAAATTGGAAAAAATCCCCGAAAAACGTAGGCACCATTTTTCTAATCGGGCCTGCTACACGCTTGATTTGACAGAACGAGGTCTGTTAGGTTAGCTAGTAATATACCTATTATGTTTTTATAAATGAAATCTTTTGTACAACAAAGAGCTAGAGAAAGAATACATGAACATACATACTTACATATTTTTAATAGAAAGTTTTGGTTATTGAATTAGCATTGCGTGTTTTCTGTACTGCAACCTAATTAGCCTAATTATTAATTACGAAGTCTAGACAATCTAAATTATTACGTACATTTATGAATTAATTCGAACGACGACCTTAAAAAGTTGTGCATTTTAAAAGTTTATTGAGACTAATGTTTTTATTAACACTGAGATTTTCGTGAAAGCAGTTCAAAAACATCAACTTTTTGTTAGATTTGCTTAGAAAGTTATAAACAAACTTATATTGTAATAATAAAAATCAGTTATGTAGGATACAATGACAAAGTCACGAAATATTTAAGTAGAGTTACATCTTTTTTTCTATTATTCAGCAAAAATCCAAGTTCTTCAAACTTTGAGGGTTCTTTTAAGTATCCAAATGCCTCTTTGTGTATTTGACGCTTGTAGTCACGAGGTAAAGCTTTTGTTCTATCTTCTAAGCATCAGGAAGTGCTTAGCCGTTGAGTTTGTAGTACGCAAAAACAGCCGTAAGGATTAGAATCGAAGTATTTATTTTTGTATACCGGAAGATTATTTTGAACTCTACATAAAAAATACGCATCTTATACATTAAACGTTCTAAGTTCATTACTGTATATGATACGTATTTTTTCTGTTTATCCTTACTAATATTATAAATGTGAAAGTGTGTTTGTTTGTTTGTTTGTCTGTCCTTCTTTCACGTCGAAGCAGAGTGACGGATTGGGGTGATTTTTTGTGTGGAGATAGTTGGAGGTCTGGAGAGTGACATAGGCTACTTTTTACTGTGGGATATTATCTAATCCCACAAGAAAACACGTTAAAATAGAATTCAAAAAAATATTTATAATCAGAATTGCTTGAAACTTGGTATTAGTGCTCTTCAATAAAATTTATCTTATAAGGGGGTTAAATAGGGGATGAAAGTTTGTATAAAACTACCTTTTTAGAGAACTTTGTAGTTTTAGCGCGAGCGAAGCCGCGGGTTCTGCTAGAATAGAGTAAAAGCGTATTTTCGTCATATCCGCGTCCTTCAAGTCCAAAATATATGCGCGCCATTTCCGTACAAACCAAATGTTCACGTGTCGGGCTCGAAATAAATATATGGGGATCAATAGCCGTAACATATCCTTTTACAGTGAAATAAAATTATTTGAAGACTTTCAGTGCTTAACCATCGTAAAGCTTTACAATGGTGTTTTGCCTGCTACTTCAGGGGTTTTAATCGTTTGGCTAATTTAAAGCTGGTATCTATGATACTTGTTACCTACTATGAATCCTTAAGTTAATTTTGATGAAAAGGAAATTCCCTCTAACTTTTAGATGTTCCAAGGGCTAGAGTGATATCTTTCCAAACTGTTAGTAGTCTTATTAGTCTTATTTACTATGCTTGAACGAATTTATTCTAAATAAAAAAAAACTGAATTTAATTTCCATATCCAATATCCATAGTATTTATTTATTATGGCAACGTTTTAAATATTATATTTTTCCAATAGCTTTTCGGCCTGGTGGTAATAGGCGTGGGTGTTGCCGTATTGCTAAACTGGGCAGTGATCAAGGATGAGCTCCAAGGTCACCTTACCGTGGCCCCATGGGTGTTTATAGTGATCGGCGCTATCATGTTCATCATCGCCTTCTTCGGATGCTGCGGAGCTATACGCGAGAGCCACTGCATGACTGTCACGGTGAGTGCATAAAAATTATCTATGTCAATCTATACTTTTGTTTCCTATGTTATATATCACAATATGATATATTACTTCACATCTTTAAGTTAATTTTGCTTAATATTGTAAAGGATTTGTTGTGTTTGTTACTTTGGTAGCTCAATATTATTAACTAGGACAACTCATGTGGCAAATACTGCGCCTATAGATAAAAGAAAGGGTCACTCCTTTCAAAAGGTTCAAATCTCAGCTAGATGGACCAAACATTATAATTTTCAATATAGTTGTATGTATTTGCGAAAATTTGTATGCGTGTATTTTTGGTAAGCCTAAACGTCTGGACGGATATTGATAATATAGATAGACTAAAACCTGGTATTCCAGGCATCAAAGGCTACTTTTGATTACTCACTACATATAATAAAAAATAATGACAGGCAAAAACGTCTCTACATTTTGATACATAAAATGAGTAAATTACTAACAAAAACCGAATGGCTTTCCTTTTTTAATTTAAACATTTACAAGTCCACGTCAGTGCGTGAGTATTTTTAAACAAGCCAGCCAATACTAGCATGGAAACCGATTGTTAGTCAAACAAAGGCGCTCTCTACAAAGAAAGCTGCTTTCGTTCCACTAACTCCTTTACGATGTGTTAAAGTCTACTGTGCTTGTTGTCGTTTTTAACGCGTAAGATAACTGTAGGTTATTGTCACAAAGGGTAGCGATAAGGCGTGCTCTGTATCTCTTTTTTCTGTCATTTGTTAGCATTATACATTAAAACTTGTTAAATGCAATATAAAATGTTTTAACTATTTGAATGACCCGTACTTTTAATAATACCTATAAAATGTAAACAATATTAGTTCCTAGATATTGATATTTTGTGAGATTTTCGATAAAACCGAAATGTTCGCTTTTTTCTAGTACAAGTCTAACGAAAAAATTTACGTAAGTTTATACAAAAATATTATGATAATTTAACTCCTAAAGCATGTATTAGATAAATTAACATATTATGTATGTAATATGTATGTATGCAAATTTTATTATACATACCTACTAGTTTTATACTAGTTTTATATTACTTAAGAGGAATGTAATACGTATTAGTGAAATGTTTAGAATCGGCTTTAGAAGGTCAGGGATTAAAATGGATGATGCAAAAAACAAACACGTGTTTGTTGCAACACAAATTGCAATACTAATATCATTTATATAAATAAAAATGCACGTTCGTATGTTTGTTCTCTATCCATTCCTAAACTATTGATACCATTGTGATGAAATTTGAGTGGGTTATTCTGTATAAGTCTGTGTAAGTTCTTGGCTCAAAAAAAATTCTTTGCACGCTGTGGACGCCCTCGAGTGAAGCTAGGGTTAGTTGCTAGTGTAGAATAAATACTAAATACATAATTACATTTGTTCACAGTATGCGATCTTCCTCCTAGTGATAATCATAGTGCAAGTGATACTCGCGGTATTGATGTTCACTTACGCGGATAACATAAAGGACGGACTCGTCACATCTATGAACCAGTTGTTTGAGAAGACCAAAGTGGACCCCGCAGCGCAAACCGTCTTCAATAACATCCAGGAACAGGTATAGTTCTGATTTATTATCATCATTTCTCCATTATGCCGTTAAAATCACTTTAAAGTAATTGTTCTACACAGTATTTTTTTTTATTATTATGGCTTTAAAAGATGGAAGTACATTTAAACTAAAAATAAAAAAATGTTAATAAATAAGGACAATTTAATGATAAAACATTAAAAAAAAAACAAGATTTTATATTTTTTTATAAAATAATTTATTTTGTGACATGTGCAAAATATGGCAATGAACGAACACAACGTAACATATTTTTGTATATTTTAACGCCTCAAATAAGTGTGGATTCAGATAGTTAAAGGTCGTTTTTCAGTGCCAGACCGCGTGATAACGATTGTTAAACAATTTGTATGCAAAACGTGCTTTAAAAATACCATCGATAAGTTGTTTTTGTAAGTAATTAAGTTATTAGTTTTTTCTTTTTTCAGCTTCGAAAGTCTTAACGTGATGTTAGATAAAGTATTACTTTCCTCAATAAATCCATAGACTATAAAATGCAAAAAGGATTTTGTATATCAGATTAGTAATGACATCTAGATAATCAGGTTCACACGGACATAAAAAGAACCAATCTCATATATTATTGTATCTCTTATAATAGAAATAGATTACATAATTTGTGAAAAAAAATGCAATTCTAATTCGCAGTAATTGTAGAGCAAGGTCAGGTGTTCGAATTTCGATCCGAATGAATGTTTCTATTAGTCGACAGGTTATTAAATAAAGGCGAAAGTGTTACGCTTCATATCGCCCACATATAGTTCAATAATCATTGAAAAGAGGAAAGCAGTAATGAATCACTACATCATTTATTGTTTGGATTTTATCAGCGACCATACATTTATTTATATTTAATTGCTATCTGTCACTTTGTGATTCTTCTTTATGTAAACGATGTATTAATTTAAAAAAAAAAAACATCCAGAGAATTTATTAAAATTGTTATACCTACTTCTTTTTTTAGAAAAAAAAACTGAGATTTTTTTTAAATAAGTTAGATTACAGGTATATTTAATTTAAATTACGAATTTCTCCATTCATAAAATATTCCACCTTCCAGTTAGAATGTTGCGGCAAGAACAGCGCCACGGACTACGGCATCATACTGCCCAAGTCCTGCTGCTCGCGACTGGGTACCGTTGGCAAGATCCTCGGGGACCAGTGCAGCCTGGCCGACGCCAACACTGTGGGCTGCAGCGTGCGCGTCGCGGACCTTTACCAGAAGTGGAATAAGACCATCGCTGGTGTTGCTATCGGGGTTGCCTGTGTCGAGGTGAGTGTTGCTAAGTTGAAGTTGTGCCGTCAGCACATTACATTATATGTATTTGCGCCCTCAGTTGGAATGAGACACTCGGATGAGATACTCGTACTCATAATAAATATATCGTTTAGTTTTACGTGTTAATTATTACACCATATAGCACCCAACCGCAAAATATAGCACCCAACCGCAAAAGTACTTTTGCAGTAGCTGCTGCTGACGGCACAAAGTGTAACTTTTCAGAATCGTCACATGAAACTCGATGAAAATGATGAAAATGTGTCACTAAAAAGAGAAACGATCGATACGAATGGTATCGATACAATTTATACAAATTTATAATAACTCTTTATCGAATTACGCTTGTTATGTGTAATTCAATGAAGCGTTAAAAATCTATCGAAAATATATTTTATTCAAATTCGAACGGGATCAATCGGTAAAATAGTAGCTGTTTCTCTATGATGTTATAAACTTTACATTAAAAAAAACTATATTGCAGGATAGACCTAAGACCTATAGGGGTGGACTAATAATTTTTTTAATTTCATATTGTATTTAAGTAGGTATAAAAATAAAAAAATAAAAATAAAAACGTATTTATTGCCATAAAAAAGAGTAAAAAAGAGTTAACCCTGGATGGTTATTTTAATGAAAATTTATTATTTATTTATAATAATTAATACATTTTAATTTCATTATTTTCCAGGTGATCGGAGCCCTGTTCGCGCTGTGCCTCGCCAACTCCATAAGAAACATGGACAGAAGGTCACGCTACTAATATTTTGTACATTAGAACTGGTACCGACACAATTTTTTGGTTCTTTTTGGCTATTTTAATGGGCAATGTTCATTGCATGGCGGCGGTTTCACATAAATATTCATTATTTTTCAAATTTTACATTAAAATTAATCAGGCAAAGGTGTTTTTGAATTGCATGTCGGTTTTTTATTAACTATGATTATCACAAATAGCACGGAACTTTACTAAACAAATGTCCGAATGACTTTTTGGATTTTTTGTATTTATTTTGTAATAATATATTTTGGATGTGTGTATTTTATATTTTTAACTTTAAAGTTGATATTGGTGAAATAACTTATTTTGATAATTACAATCTTAACTAACTTCCAAAACGGAGGGTTTATGTTCGTCTCTGTGAATCTTTTTTTTAATATTAAGTATTTTTCGTTAAAGTTAATTGCTTAACAGGTGTAAATTCATTCTCAAATAATAAACTCTATTATATTATATATTTTTTTAAATAATTTAATGATTTTTTTAATAGTAATTAAACTTAATAATTAAATTACTAATAAGAAACGTTTTTAGTTGTTTTTTTTTTATATTTTATAACATTTTTAAATTAAGTGCGTATTAATCTCTAAACATAACATGCTTATTGGGTGATAGCTTTACTAACAATATTTGTGCGCAAATAAGTTATAACACTAATGGCGTCTATACACTGAGAATAACTTTCGAATTACATTTAAAAAAATATTTTAGAAGCTGGCTTTTTGATTGAAGTAATTTTAAAATTTTAAGAATTAAAATAAGATATTAGAATTAAAAACTTAATACTTTTGCTAAGAGTTATTCACTGTATATCTCATTTACTAATTTTTCTATATATCACTCATACATTACTTAGAATTTGATATTATAGTAGAGGAGCCCAAGATTACTCAAGCGCGGCAGATTAACATACGGGGGGACTTATGTTAATTTTTAGCAAATGTCAAAATCCCCTCTTGGGCTCCCATACTATTACATTAACCCCTATACTACAAAATATATATCAGAATAACATTTTCACTGTTGGACCCCGGACTATATTCACATACAAATTATTTAAAATGCACAATTTGAGTGGTATGTAGATTTTATACGCATTTTGCTTTTAATAATTGATTTTTTGAACTAACATGAATATATTTAAAATTGAATTAAGAAAGAAATAACGTTTTTTTATTTGTATACAATTTTTGTATTTGCTTTAGGTGTTAGAATATAAATAATATGCCTAAAATTATATAAAAAGTTTCTAATTAAAATTTAGAATTAAATATTAATTTTGTTTAATGGCAACATTTGATTATTAGATTATATGGCGACTCTGCTATATTATAAAAAAGTACAAGTTATAATGAGTGCCAAACATGCTCATTAGATTTTAAAATGCCATAAAAATATTTGTAACGACTTAATATGCTTAATTATTGATATTAACTTAAATAAAGCATATATTTGATTTTGTTCTTTTATTGTCATACTAATTCCATCGCTTTTTCATACAGTTTGCTTTAGGTAAGTGGTTTTTTACTAATTTTGCATGAAATTTTATGTCATATGAATGAATGAAAGCTTGATTTTTTTGGAATGTGTTGTATATAACATTTTGTATAAATTGTATAAAGGGATCTAGTACCATAATTAAGTCAATGGAGAAGAATGGTGATACTAATTAAAAGGATGTGTTTTGTGAATAACCGATTGGTACCAGTACAAAATCAAAAATATTTTTTTTATAATTGTTTACATATTTAAGAAATATAATATTCCTAAGTTCTTGTGGGTTTTATAAACAACTCGGGTTCGTTCCTACTTATGTTTTAACGATTAGTATAGATTTCTCAGAGATGAGATATTTTCCCGCAGTAAAAAGTACCCTTTATGTTGACTCGGATAACTAGCTATCATCATACCAAATTTCATCAAAATCCCTCTAGTGGTTATTTCGTGATGCGGTCACAGATAGACCGACAAAAATTCTAAAAACTATAGATTCGACCTCTGTATCGATAATAATGTCTATTTCAATAAGATTTTCCAAAAAAATCGGCTTAGTTTTTAATTATACGAGTACGTATAGATTAGAAATGTCAGATAAGAATCAAGAAGAATGTCAGTCAGAAATAGTAGCGTGATTTGCTGTTTATGCTACTATTCTCCATTTTGCCATACAGATTGCTTATGGTCTTTAAATAATAAGTGAATTTAACTAGGCATTTATTTCAACATTACAAACAGACACTTCAACTTAATTTATCTGTTTAGACTATAGATTTTACTAGATTATATACAATGCGGTGTGCAATACTTATAATCATTTTCTAATTTCTATTGATTCTGTCAATATTTATAATAATTTAATTTTTTCTCAATTCTAGGTACGCTTGAAACAATAATATCACGATTTACTTCGAAAAAGAACAATATAACGACATACCATATTTTATTACAAATTAAGTTTAGTTGGTAAAGAAGCCCCACCTCGTTTGTTTTCGAATTCCGACCTGTTATGAGAATTAGGTAGAGACGCCGATCACATATAATGGGACCTGATAAATACTATATTTTTATTATATATTAATTATATATTTAAAGTATATAAACTTAAATAAATAAAAAAAAATCCTTTGAATAATAGTATAAAAATTTTCTCCACTCAAAGTTGATGTTTTGATATTTATAAAAATACTTCTTTGTTTCATCATTTCCAAGTCTTCATTATAAATAATTATTTTCAATTTTCTTATGTCGGAAGGGCTAAGTAATAAGCAGTCATTAGTCTCTACCTATAAAATCAAATGCTTTACCATTATGGTAGTTTTGTTATTTTAATACTGACATGGCGTTGAAGTTAACGCGTTACAATTATTAATGTTTTGTTAAGCGTCATTTTGTTTATTAAATATAGTTATTAAGTTAGTTAAGCGACTGTTTGTATTACCGAATGTTAGATATTGCTGGTGTTTCCAAGTTAATTTCATTTTTTTTCTAAAATATTTGGAAAAGGTAATAATAATATATTATTCCTAACATCTGATATACACAGTACACACCTCTATATCAGGAGTTCTCAACCGTAGAAAGAGTTTATTCCGTATAACTTAAAATTAAAATATGCAATGAGTAAAAAATACAAATAAATATATAATAAATGGGGGGGATGGGGGGCTCAACAGCAGAAAGGTTGGGAAAACCTGCTCTTTGTAATTCATTATTTTGCTTTTTACCTTATTTAATGTAAAATTAATTATTCAGCAATATAAAACATTCGTTATATTCTATTGAACTTATAAAAATAAAGTATTTTCTTAATCTTTGTAATTTGTACGTCCATGTTTATATTATGAAAGTGTTAAAATTTTATGCATTTCTATTGTAACTGACGTTTGTTGAAGCGTTCGTACTCAATGTATATAGCTCGAGACATTATATCGGGAGCAAATGTCTGTTTATTGTATTTGAATCTCTTGTGCATTTCCGATGTTACTGCTTTTGTGGATGATTTACATTGTATGATTAAATAAATCTTAATCGAACATCTTGTTTTATTTATACTAATCTCACCCTTGGAGTAAAAGCTCAGATTAAAGAAATATTCAAAAGGACTTCGCTAAAAATGTCGAAAGCCAAAAATAGTCGTTCGATTCCCAATGTTAGGAATAAAATAAATATGGTTTATATTTTAATATATATTATATATTAAAACATTGATATTTTAAAACATTGTTTTTAACTATTTATTTAAAACTACTATTTAAAAGTAAATAATATAAAGTGATTTCAACAAATATAAAATTAATTTTATCGGGAGATAATATATATCAACGCCTGGTAACGACTTACAAACGAAAAAAGTTCGAAAAAGACACTCATTGACATGTTGGTCATACCATGGGGTCTCATCACGAACAAAGAAAAAATAGTTCAAATAAATGTCAATAGACGACGTTACAGTACCGATTTAAGTTGTATTAAATTAACAAAAGATAAAAAATACATTACCAGACTTAAAGGTGAATCATGTTTTAAGAAATATTCCAAGTGAAGGTAAACAAAACAAAGCGCTTTAAATCAAATTTGCGTAATTTTATTGATTATTGAAAATCAGCAATCAGATGATGGGCTTGTAGTGTATATTCACAGATGGCGCTTTTACTTTTTATGAATTGATTCTCACGATTAAAAATTGTTAAAATCACTGGGTTTTTTATTCAAATGCAGGATGAATTTTACAATATTTACCATTCGTTAGTTTGCATATATTTATAAAATAAAACAGTTTAACTATTTGCGAATGAACGACATTTATACTATCTATTCGAACAAACAAAAATAGCCCGAAGAATAAGCCCGAATTAGCACTGTCCAATTTATTTGTATGGGATGAGGCATCTCTACTAATATAGTAATATGTAATCTGTGGTTATACCTCATATTTAGTACCTATGTATGTACTAGGTACTTATTAAATTAACCGACTTGGTTTTACATTCTCACAACTTTTTCGCTAAAAGAACTACGTTTCGAGACTTGCGTTTTTTAAATGTTATGTTTTTGATAGGTTTATTTGTAAAACATTCTCTTTTCTTTCCGCCGACTCGAAAAGCAGTTCTTCTATACATCTATACATATAATAAAATTGTAACTAAGTTAACTATACATTGAATATTTTTTGGAAAATCTTATTGAAACAAACATTATTATCGATACAGAGGCCGAATTTATAGTTTTTAAAAGGGAAGAACTTTGCCTTTTTATCCCGCCAGATGTCACGATAACTATGATCCTCAGTATATTGTAAAGCTCTCTATAGCGTGGATGTATTTTTTTCATTTTATTTAAAATTAAATTAAAAGGGCAAACTGTGCAGTGCTAGGATACAAAGAAAACGGACACCATTTGTTCCTAAGAAAAAAAACTGGAGAGATTGTAAGCTAAATCTAATAAGACGACCAAAATTGACGAAAGCACCATTTTTTTATATTAAGGCTATGTGGACATCGTTTTACAGAAATAGTGATTTTAAATCGTTTACAGGTAAATATTTTTTTGAAGTAAAACTTCTTTACAATCGTTACGATTTGAAACTCAATAAAACGAAAATGCAACATTAAAAAGAAACAAACATATAAATATATAGGATTGCTGGCGAGAGAATGAGATAGATTACATTGTCATGTTGCCATGGTAGCCGTTGTTATTGTTTGACAAATATATTTATTTTTTCAGGGTATGATATTTTATAAATAAATTATTGTAATTTGCATAAATGCCTTATTTAATTGTTGGTACCTGGGCGACTAAGCTTCACTCGGAGTTGTTTTGTGTTGTATCGTATTTTTAGATAAAAAAACCTTAAACTTGAATAAATACAAAAAAAAAAACGAAAGTAGAAACTTTGTATCCGACCCCGGACACCTGTGGTTGTCAATCTTGCGCCTTGATCTCTTGACCACGATCAACGATTGACTTGACTTATTCCCGAGAGTGCGAATCTACCGAGATCGCCGGTATATATCTTCTATATATATAAAAATAAATCACTGAAATGTATATGTACGCGCATAACTTCCGATCAACTGGACCAAATTAGATAATTTTTTTTTCGTGTATAAACACTTTTTTTTTCGTGTATAAACAAATCAATAATAATATTATCAGGACAAGTTTTGTTTAGAAGAAAATTAAAAGAAAAAAAGATCTTCTTACTAAAATTATAGAAGTTTTTTTTTAAAACTCATGATATGAAAAGCGAGTGAGTGAATGTGACAAAATGACGTTCAATTAGTCAGCCAGCAGTAGACAACCTCAAGCAGACAATACGTCATAAACATAATCTGATGGATGGAAGAACTCGTGTATGCCTACTATTACTTCACTAACAAACTTTATTTGTCATCCATGTAACAAACTTAGTAAATTTGCATATAGATTAAATATACTAACTAGCATTTCAATCATTTAATAAGTACTGTATTAATTTGTGTCAATACTTTTTACACTAAATTTGTGTTAAATATAATAAGTAAATAATTTCCCTATAAAATAATACTTTAAAAGAAAAAAATAAAATATCTGACAGTTTCTTCACATGACGTGATGTCAATAAAGTGTTCTGTGGTTGTAAATGACAAATCGGCAGTGTTTGTGTCATGGATGACAAATAAAATTGTTGTACGTCAAATCGAGATGTGTAGAGTGTAGACGTTTGTTCAATCACGTATTATAGTAATCGCGAAGCAAACTTTCGAATTTTACATTTCCTAATTTCATCATAAATTATCTAGTAGTCGATGAGAGAAGTCGTGTCCAAATGTGTTGCGAAGTAATACGAAATTTAGCCTCTTAACTATTAATCAAAAAACAGCATTATGATTCCTAAACTTTCTAAAATGGCTTATAAAAACTGTTGTGTTGTGTTTATTATTTTGGCTCTCGCAATAGTTCACGCAGTGAGTGACGACACGGAACTATTTGAAACGGCACCTTGCGATAGTAATGCATGTTTTGATGCACTTCATGGAGCTCTCGGTGACTGTTCTTGTAATGTTGATACGATCGACTATTTTAACAACGTCAAAATATTTCCCCGTATACAGAGCTTAGTGAGCAAAGACTATTTTCGGTTTTACAAGGTCAATTTAAAAAAAGAATGTCCATTTTGGGCAGACGATAGCAGATGTGCAATGAAATATTGTCACATAAAAACCTGCTCCAAAGAGAGTGTACCTGGTTTAGAAAATGGATATAATAACGAACTAGATGAAGAAATACCGGCTGCAAAATACTCCAAAGATGCGCAGACCGATTGCAGTAAAGATACTGATCATGACCCAGCTCTCAGTTATTTGAATATGACTTTGAGTGCTGCAAGTCAATTTGAAATTGCCAAATGGAAAGCATATGATGATTCAGTAGGAAATTTCTGTGAATGTGATGATAAAGATGCTGATGCTGATTATGTTGACTTGTCTCTTAACCCTGAAAGATATACAGGCTATAAGGGCCCTTCTGCTCATAGGATTTGGAGGAGCATTTACCAGGAGAATTGCTTTCGTCCTAAAGCAAATCCATATGAATCATTTCCATTTGTATTAAGCTCAGACTTAAGTAACATGTGCCTTGAGAAGAGAGTATTTTATAGAGCTGTATCAGGATTACATTCCAGTATTAACATACATTTATGTTCAAAATTTTTGTTATCAGAAAAAAAATTAGGTTTTGCTGCACCACCAGAAGGTGAATGGGGACCTAACTTGGATGAGTTCCAACGTCGTTTTGATCCATCACAGACATTTGGGGAAGGTCCAAATTGGCTAAAGAATTTATATTTTGTTTATTTATTAGAGATGAGAGCTTTGGCAAAAGCTGGGCCATATTTAGAGCGTGAGGACTATTTCACTGGTAATCCAGTTGAAGATGAGGAAACAAGAGATGCAATTCGTAATATGTTAGGTGTCATATACTCATTTCCAGATCATTTTAATGAATCATCCATGTTCACTGGAGGTAGCCAGGCTGCCAAAATAAAACAGGAGTTCAGAGATCATTTTTGGAACATTTCTAGAATAATGGATTGTGTTGGTTGTGACAAATGTAAGCTTTGGGGCAAGTTGCAAACACAAGGCTTAGGAACTGCTCTAAAAATTTTATTTTCTGGACAGTGGGACAGTTTTGAGAAGGATCCGGATCAGGGTACTCTTTTGTTGCAACATAAGTCACATAAACGTCTGCAAAGGACTGAAATAGTGGCACTCTTCAATGCATTTGCAAGACTATCAAATAGTATTAGAGAATTGGAAAACTTCAGAAACATGCTCAGGTAAGAATTTTTTATTAAAATGAAAGCAATTTTACATCATGTAGGAAAAATAATTTAACTATTTTTTTATTAATTATTACAATTAAATTTTATTATTATCTGGTTAGAATGGAAGAGTTTTTGTTAAAAAGGTCTTATTTCCTTAGATTGTTTGTTTATTTTTTTTCTTTATTTATTATATCAATAATCATCAAATAGGAGCTCGGCCTATACTAATCAGATTCATGTTGGTGTGTCATTAACTATTTTACTAACATTATCCTTTTGCTTCACATTGTACTGCTTTTATATCTTAGCTGTAATTCGGTTAGTTTTAAATAGTATCATAAATCTATACTTTAAGTGGAAAAACAGTTTTATAAAAAAAACTTGTGTAAATATTTTATATACAAGTTTTTTCATTTGATAAATCTTTGTTTTGATAACTGTCACAAAAAATATGAATGAATATTCATATATGACAGTTATCAAAAGTTTATTGTTTGCAAAAAATAATTTAAATAATAAAAGTTTAATTTAGTAGTTTTTAAATATAAATACATATTTAATGACATGTTGTTATTGTATTACTTATATGTAAAAGTTTCATACTCATTTATTTATAATTAACGTGATTTAGTTCAACGCACATGGAATACTTGATAATCCACATTTAATGTTAATTATTTTATGATAATGATATCACATAATTTTGCAATGATTAGATTTTCTGTCAATTATAAAACCCATTATAAATAAAATGTTAATCCCCCTCCACGACCGCGCCGACACGCTGGCGTGTCAGTTAACAATAGATTTCTTAGAATTTTAATTAATTTCTTAGAAATTTACCTGGAGGTGTTAACATACTTTAAAAAACCCCAACATTTAGGTAGACAGATTGTTTTTTTTTTACTTCACATTTTTTTTAATTAAAGCAGTTATATTTTTTGTGTTGATTTAATATTATTAGTAAATTAGCTGACCTGAAAAACATTGCCTTATCATAATTACCTACCTAATACCTAAGAGATCATAAAAAATCTCTGTTTAAAAAAGAAATGTAGGGAATAAACAATATATAAAACTGTGACAAAATCTGAATTTGGTATAAATCTTTTGTATTATTATTATTATACACTAGCATTGCCCGCGGCTCCGCCCGCGTTCAGATGACCAAAAACTAAATTCTTAGGTGTTACATATTAGTATACTCTTACATTGCAGTTTTTGTATTTTTCCTCAGAAATAAGATATTTTCCCGCGGTAAAAAGTATCCTAGGATCGCGCGCTACATCGCCCGGTTTATATAGCTTGAGCAGGCGGTCGAGCGATGCGGGGCAGAGGGGATGGACTCGCCGTAGGCATCTCAATGCTCGCCAAGCATTAAAAATGTTTCGCTACTAATTACTTCTAACAACGATATCTCAAAAACTATTCATCTGATTGATTTAGTGTAAAGAGCAATTTTAATCTGCATTAAATGACTAAGCTAACTAAAATATTCATTTGGATAAGGATTAATACCGAACTAAAGAAAATAACTTTGAAAATAACGTAATGTTTTTAATTAAAAATGTTAACATAAAAGTGGTTATTGTAAGTCAACCGTAAGAGATAGAGATATGCTATCGCGGACTTTTTTGTAGCATTTTTATAGATTTTGAATTCTCTAGTACATTACTTAACTGTATCTTTGCTAGTTTACGCGGCGTTCGCGTGGAAAGTTCCCATTTGGCGAGATTTTTTGCGACCTCTTCAACATTTGTCGCCGTATTTCAGCTAATTTACATAAAAGCATAATAAATTATATACCTAAACCTTCCTCAAGAATTACTCTTTCTATTGTTGAAAACCGTATAAAAATCCGTTCAGTAGTTTTCGAGTTTATCGCGTTCAGACAGACAGGAGGACAGACAGGAGGACAGACAGGAGGACAGAAAGACGCGGCCGGGGGACTTATTTTTATAATAAGTATAGATTTAAAAAAAGAACCCATTCTGCTGTTATTAAGTGTTGTGCTTAGGTACGATGTGCCAATAAATACTAAATAGTTTGTATTTCATTTAATTTATTATGTATTGATTTATGTATTTCATTTAATTATTATTAGATTTATTATTAGACTAGCGATTCACCCTCGCTTCGCTTCGGGTTCGTCTCTAGACAAAAACAAATCTATCCCACGGGTACCGTACATTTTTCCGGGATGATATATATCCTTCCTCAATAAACGGGCTATTTAATGCAAAAATAATTTTTCAAATCGGATAAGTAGTTCCTGAGATTAGTGCGTTCAAACAAACAAATAAACAAACTCAGCTTCTTTATTATTATAAAGGTTAAAAATTATTTAGTATAGACAATGAATGATACTTATTTAGTTTGGGTTAATATTTAATGCCTTATACTCAGTACCTTTATTTCAAAAGGTACTTGTGTAATATCTTCGATCTTGTGATTTTAAATGACTTTAAACATTGCTTGTGCCAGTTATTTCGAATTATTTTCCCTGTACGTGTTACTGTCAGTATAAAATACATTGAATATGTCCATTGATAAAACAGACACATTTTTAATTGATGATTAAAAGGAAAACCCATCACGGATCACTTTGTAGTGTTGATAAGAAATGACGATAATGTACTAATTATTTGGTGCTCACTTCGAAAATACTAGAAGCTAAATGAAATACGTTCGAATTTACTTTGTTTCAATTTCAACCTATCCCACGGAAACTGTACATTTTTCCGGGAAAAATGTGTTGCCTATGTGTTATCCCAGACTATAATCTATCTCTGTGCCAAATTTCATCCAAAGCCGTTCAGCCGTTCTGGCGTGAAAGAGTAACAAAAATCCATACATACTCACAAACTTTCACTTTAATAATATTGTAAAATAATACGGAAATAAATTTTTGTTTAATATTACAAATACTGATATTTGAGAATGTGTTTGTAGTATGTTATTTTTTCGCGCTATACTAATGGTGATTAATTCGGTTTTGAGTGAAGTTCGGAAGGAAAATACTATGAATTAATTTTTATTTTATTTATTATTAGTGAAACATACAGTGTTACAACACAAACAACATATAACAATAAAAATAGTACATACACCAATAAAGTTTCCACAAACAAAAAAATCATACAGTAAAAGAGTAGAGATTTGACAAAACAACAACATAATTAACATAGAGATTACGTTTCTCGCGATGTCTACTACGCGAGCGACGCGGCGAGTAAAAAAATAGTATTTATATAACACTAGCATTGCCCGCGGCTCCGCCCGCGTTCAGATGACCAAAAACCAAATTCTTAGGTTTTACATATTAGTATACTCTTACCATTTTTTATTATACTCTTATCAGTTTTTGTATTTTTTCTCAGAAATGAGATATTTTCCTGCGGTAAGAAGTATAGGACCCGGATAACCAGCTATCATCATACCTAATTTCATCAAAATTGTCCAGTGGTTTTCTCGTGATGCGGTAACAGACAGACAGACAGACAAAAATTCTAAAAACTATAGATTCGGATTCTGTATCGATTATAATGTCTATTTCAATTAGATTTTCCAAAAAATATTTAATGTATGTACAGATTCGACTTAGTTACAATTTTATTATATGTACTTATAGATTAGTGTAGGACTTAGGCGACGTCCTTTTACTATTTTGATAAACTTCTTACTTCAGAGGCCAAAACTCATAGAAAACCTATCTCAGTATCAGCGCGTATTTTATATAGAAAGCAAAAGTATGCGTTATACAATAATATGCTATACCGTATAATATTATATTCTTTGTGTAAGTAATCTGTTAGCACCTACTTAGTGTGACGATGCGAGATGAAAGTTTTATTTCAACTTACGCTTCTATTGATACATTTTTATTTACTTATTTTTTGCTATAGAATATCAAAATATTTTTTTCTCTTTATGTGTTATATACGCGTAAGAATTGAATTTGTAGCTTTAGTTGATTCCCCATACAAACTACTTTCATCCCCACACCCACCCCCCCTCCCATAAGGGATAAAAAGTACCCCCATCCCTTAATCATCCGGTGATGATGATTTCCGGGATGACAAGTATCCTATGTCCTTCCCAGGATCTCAAACTATCTCCTTACCAACTTTTACATAGACACAAAAATTCAAAAAACTATAGATTCCGCCTCTGTATCGATAATAATGATTATTTCAATAACATTTTCCAAAAACTATTTAATGCCCAGATTCGACTCGGAATTTAATATTTTCTTAGATTTACGCGAATATTTGACATGTTAAATAAAACAATCTTTTCGGATTATTCCGCGGATTTATTTTGATTTTTAGTTTCCGACGTTTCGAATGCTTAACAGCAATCATGGTCACGGGAGAGACAGTCAGTTACAATTTTATTATATTTGTATAGGATGAAAAAAGACAATAATAAGAAGCCTGTCATTGATAAATAGGATATAGGTCTGTTGATATACATAATTGCCACTTCTAATCGATAACGTAATGTTTACGTATCACAATGGCTGCCATAAAATGCTTAACAAAGAGTTAAAATTAACCAATTACTATTTTATGACTCAAGTTTATAATGCTCGGAATCGTTAAAATTATCTTAACTGTTCTTGAGATATTTTATCGTTATTGTACCTTATACTGTGTGCATATTGCGAAAAATGTGTGTTTTACTGTCACACTCACCTTTTTACGATCAAACTATTTAACCCATCTCCTTATTTAGGACAATGTTGCTTGAATTTCATCTTAACAAGTTATCTTCTATTATTGATTTTGAAAAACGATTTTTCTATAAGAATTGAAGCTTTATAAAAATCTACAATTATTCGGAAATTACTTGAGGGTTGTTTCATTCTATTCAATATTGTAATTAATTTATTTCATCTATTTAAAAATCGATTTTCATCGTAATATTGATAGTAAGTATTTTACTTAGTAATATACATGAGTTTCGAATTTGATGCAATGTAACTTTATTCAAATAGACTTTTAAGTCTA